TGATATTCACAAATCAAGTCGCATGATTCTGAATTACTGTGGTGATTTGTCATGGTCCATTCCCAGAACGATATCCGATGCAAATGATCAGCGATAAATTAGCATCACAGTCCGACGGCCGGCTCAATATGTAATTTTCTGAATTCTTGGAATCATATCAGCGGACAATGAACGCTTTATATAATGTGACGAGCTTTGTCGCGTGGTGAAGCCAGTTAGCGCCACTCAGAGTTAGTTCTATTCTCTTTACCTTCCCCAACTCCACATCAACAGGCGCATTTCTGTTAAAACAGAAATTTATTCTTAAATAAATAAAAAAACGCCGCCAACGATAGAAAATGGTCACACCAAATGGCAACCTCACTATGCTCGTCTGATGCTTCTCTCGTTAAATAATCATGCTAATGATCTGCCTAGTACCTACCTGAATTGGCAAAAGCGCTTGGACCCTATTTCCAAATTCATACAATAGCATCAATCACTAGTTGTTGACCAAATATCATTTGAAAAAAAATGACAAGCTCTGATCTACATTTACAGGGACCGGAAAGAAAGTTCTACAGGTTAGATTGCAGTCCGTAAAAAAAAAAAAACATTTTATCTCCCATCAGCTCCCAAGTTCCGCAGTTTCTAAGATTTCTATCCAACTCCGGTGTGATTGTTTTCGCTTTGGGCGACCAAACATATCGGACGCCGCTTGTCCCTAATACCTGACTTGTGGCACACTTTCAGCAGTAGCAGCTAGTGCTTCAATCCTGGCTTCTCTGCGATCCAATCGCCACTATACCGACGCAGCAAATCGGACCGAGCTCAGCCGCTCTGTTCCCTCTCTGAAAATACCATCGGCCGGCGCGGCGGGCCGGGCGGCGGGGCGACGGCCGGTGGCGCGTGCGGCCGGGCGCTCCCTCCGCATCCCCGCACTGCTCCCAGCCCAATCATCCGGCGATTTCCCGGCTGCGGGCCACCACCTGAATCCCAACTCCTCTGTTCTGCTGTGCCCGCGGTCCGCCGCCAACGAGCATCGATTGGAGCGGCCGGCCGCGGCCGCTCGGGCCAGCCTCAATTAGCCACAATCACACCGGCGGGAGGCGGAGTGGCATCGCGCTTACGCCCTGCTCCCTCCCCCTCCCCCGCCGGTCTCAGCGCCTGCAGTAATAGATTCGGTCAGTGGCGCCCAGTGGTCGGTGCCGCCGCTTGCGTGGGTCGTCCGGAGGCGATTTATTGTTCCCAGTCGGGCCCGCTCCGGTCGACCAGCCGGCTGCCCCTCGCTGTGATCGTATTGGACGCTGGCCCAGGGATTTGCATTCATTCTGATATGTAAATCGGACGGCTGAGTTTGAGATTGGTGCCGCTGGACATACCGGCTGGTGCCCGTGGTATTCGTCAGAGAGACGGCATCGACGGGGGCTCGACGTCGTGGAACGAATGACGACGACGGGAAACCTCTGTCACAGGGCTGGCAGAGCTTATTGTCAGTTGATTACCATTCACCGGATCACGGGCGATCACCCACAGACAAACGCCCCCTAACACCCACCGTCCACTGACCACTGTCCACTGTCCATCGTTCATTATATACCGCATACAATCTACCCATATTCTCCAACACCATTTATCCACCATCTACCATCCACCGTCCACTACTCACGGCCTTTTGTCCACTATCCACCGTCCACGGCCCAACGTCCACCGTCCACGGCCCACCGTCCACTGTCCACCGCCCACTGTCAAATGTCCAAACTCCGGAGCAGCGGCGGCGGCGGCGGCGGCGGCGGCGGCGTAGTTTAGGCCTTGTTTAGATGGAAAACAACGTCTGCCAGTCGCCGGCAGCGTTTCCGGCACCAGAGTGGAAATATTCATCAGCAGTCGCGCCGGAAAAGCTAGGTTGCCATAGCACATGCATTTGGACGAATGATTTGATTTTCAATGGCTATTGATGCAAAATGCACACTGAATATCCATTGCCCTAGTGTAGCCAAGAGCCACACGAGGCTAAATTCATACTGACGGCTTGGCAACTGCGTCCGGCGAGCAGCGCACTTGGATTTAATGGATTATGAATAGCGCCGGTAAACAGGTGAAAGGTATAAGGTCGGGGCGTTTCCAAAAATATGTTCTTGTGCACGTGAGGATCACCTTGAAAATATTGTAAAAGGACAATAAATATAAGAAGCCTAACAGCTGAGAGACAAAGTGCAATTTGGTAGGATGAAAAACTGTATGACTGACAGTAGTGTCTGTGAGTCCAAAATCCTTTTGTTTGATGATCACAGCGAGAACACACAACTGTTCTCTTTTGAAAAGAACCGATCGCATATTCATTTTAAGCCACATCTTAGTCTCCTTACCCTATATCTTATTCTCCTATATTTCATCTAATGTTTTCGGCGGCATCTTTTGGAATAGTCGTTTTGCATGCGCTGTAACAGTGTAGGTAAAATTGCATTAGTTACCTTGTGTTTAAATTGAAGCAAAGAAGCAATGTAAGATACTGTTACCCGCTATTGGCTAAAGGACGTTTACATTTTCCATTTTTCCCTTTTCGGTGATTTTTTTCCAAGACCGTTGGTTTGAAGCTCTTGGCATGAAAGCAGGAAAGCATCTCGTATGGCATCATTTGAGGACCGACTGATTAAATTTTAATACTTGCTGGATTTTTTTTCAGAGCCATGATAATAGGATACCTAACAACAGCTGCTGGCGCAATCACTCCATAGAATCGGCCGGATATGTTGGGAAAAGTTGTTCATCCAATATCGCGTTAATCAGTGAGTATCTCTGCGTGACAAACAACTCTGCTCATTCCCAAACAACTGCCGTAACCAAGTTACGATGTTGTTCATAAATCACATATGACATACGGAAATGTTACTCCTAGGTGGATCAGCGGCTTCGAGCAAATTACTATGTATTTCAGACCCCATGAGACCCTGTTTTTCGGCGATAATTTCTTCAGTTTTTGTCTAATTGGTTTGAAATTTTGACATTGGACATTTCCGCTCAAGCGCCAATTTTCATCAATATGGTCTCTTAACAAAATATCAATATTTAGAGCACTTGTCATAGGCTCGTAATGCTAATAAGATTTTGCACCCGGATAGAGGCTCGTTCGCTACCACAGCGGATTGGATGGGAGCGCTGGCCAATCACGTTGCGCCGGGCCCAACTAAACTCCGCCCACTGGCCGTGACCGCGCTGGGTCTATGCCGGCTCAGTCGGCGGCAGCACCGCGGGGAGGTTGCACGGGGGCCGCGCACTGGAAACATACATGGAATCGACACAGGGTGTCTGAGCGAAAGCTTGCTCTTCATTTGGGGGAGTTGGTAACCGCTTCTCCCTTCTTAGTATATCCACACCGATCCGATCCAGCTCAGAATATGAAGAATACTCATAATGAGGATATTAACCTCCCCAGAACCAACTTTAAATAGAGAGCTGACTCAGCTGAATATCTGAATGAATGCACATTCTGGCGCCCATATCTCATGGTCAGGTCGTGCAACTATTCTGTCACCTATGACATCATGCGAAGTCTCTGCACCACTCGAAAATATCGATATGATTGGCTGCGTCAATCGCTGTTTCTGAAGACGCTGTTATATCTATGCAGAAAACAACAGATTAGGATGATGAGTCGCGAGCACTTCCGATTGCCTAAGAAATCGCTCCACGAGCTGTGTTCGTAATTCGGGAAGCAGCAATGTGATGTGCGATTTACTGCGCATGGCAGAAATGTGACATCAAAATAAGGGAAACAGGCGCATAGGCTGGTAAAGAAATCGCGTCTCTTTGTGAAACTAAAGTAATTTTTCAAGCTCTCCAATAGTGAGGCAGTAGGTTACTTACTTACAGGTGTTTTAATTATTTGCAGTTCAACACGAAAGCCTGGGGTCAAGTCAGTCCGGTGATGTCAAACTATAGCCAATTATAAAATGGGTTAGTTGTGAAGGTGTTCATGTTGCACCGCAATCACATGAATCCATCTCAAGCATACGCATAAGCATAATATATTTCATATTGCAACCACACTTCTTAAATGCTACGGTGTAACTGTTTACCATGTCTTGCAAATTTGACGTAGGCTGACCGACGTCTTGCATCAGTTCACAGTCCATTGACATCCACGATTTTTTTTAATGACGTTCATTCAAGAAAAAATGCAGTCACTAGCCCTGAACTTAGTATTAAAGTAGGTATATCTTTATTGATTGACATGGTGTAGGTTAATTTGCGATAAATGCAATAACGAAGGCTAGTGCGCTAATTACGAGCGCTAGTTTCTGCTGTATCGTTATTACTGCAACGGCAACCGCAAGGCAGCCATGTCCAATGCGAGCCGCCCCGGTCCGGCATACGGCCTTGGGCCCGGCAGCTACTGCCCCGTCGGCTCCACGCATCCGACTGACCGGCCAAGGTCACCGCTCCGTCCGCCGGGAGGGCGGAGCTTAATGGTCACGTGCCTGTGACGTCACGCCTACGTACGGATAGCCTCTACTCCACTGACGGATTTACGGAGCTGATTTTAACGTTACGAGGCAACGACAAGTACCCTAACAATTGATATTTTGTTAAGAGACCATATTAGCGAAAATTGGCGCTTGAGCTGAAATGTGCATTGTGAAAATTTGAAGCAAATTGGACAAATATTAAATAAATTATCGCCAAAAAACAGGGTCTCATGGGGTCTGAAATGCATAGTAGGATGTTATTTAGCACGGCACTATGTTCAAACACAATAACATTTCAATTGACAACTTCAAAACAAATACACAGTTTTCATTTACGATCACTTTTGAATGATGTCTGTTCTGATCTGGTAGTATTGAATCAGATTGTCTTGAGGTTTTGAAATAGCAGAAGTCCTAACAATCCATAGGGAAAAAGCGGCATAAATCCCCAGTTTATAATGATGTTTATTTCTGTGACAGCAATAGTTAAACACCTAAGTGCCAGAAACAGCTCAGCAAACGTCTTCGAAATCCACCTATGCCTGCACTCACCGATGAGCACGTGCACGATGACCTTGACCTGGTGAAGACCATCCGGGTCACAGAAGTACTCCCCCGAGTCGGAGGGCAGGGCTCGCTCGATGCTGAACGAGCTGATGGTGCGGTCCTCCTTGTGAATGGTGGTGACCCGGACTCCGCTCCGAGACGGGTCAAACTGCACCAGCTGTAAGGTCAAGCACTGGGTCACAGTAGGCATAGGCCGGGTCACAGGTAAGGCGACAATTCGGGCAACAGTTAAGTTAACAGGTCAGGTAGGGTAGACTGCAGGTTAAGTCACAGATTATCGCACAGTTCGGGTTACACAGCAGACCACAAGTGAGTGCGAATCATTCAGAGCATTCAGAATCCGTTGGAACTCATTGAATCATAAAACGGCAAATTATCACTTCGTCAACATGCATGCATATCATGAAGTTTGCATCAGTCTTTTCATGTTATGGACAGAGAAAGTGATTATTGGGTCAGGACGAAATCCAATTAACGTTTGATTAAATTTTCATTAATCGCCATTATCGTTGGTCGCCATTTGATCGTATCAACTCCGTTATCTGTTAGCTCATTATTGATGCTATTGGTTTGTTCAATGTTCAAAGCTGTTGGTTGCTGCTTCTGTTGTTTTGTTGTTGTTGTTGTTGTTGTTGTTGTTGTTGTTGTTGTTGTTGTTGTAGTTGGTGTTGGAGGCGAAATCTAATGTCACATGGTGGACCCTCTCCCATCAGTGATCAATACAGCGGCATAATTAATTAGATAATTGCCTAGGTAAATAATTGACAAATAGTAGGAACTTCGATATACACCAAGACGTCGCACATACGGGCGACAATTCAAGATTGATACTGACGTATGCAAAAAAAAGCATTGGTTGCAGCATGTTTACACATTTATTGTTTAATGTGCCTAAGAGAATATTCATTGTGTTGTCATAACATATGTATAGTACAGCCTGCCAATAACCAGCAAATACAGAAGACATATTTGTGCTCGAAATGACCCCAAGCTTCCTGGTGTAATCTGTTTCGATAATCACCTAATGAGCAAGTCGACAAATTTGCCCGATCACTCAGAGCCAAATTTCCGGGCCGACGTCAATTAATTTAGTTCCCAGGCAAAGGCCGTCTGTGATTGTCAAACCTTCGGAGGGTGATGAAAAGTTTGCCTGTTATTGGCGAACGGGGCAGAGAAGAGTCAACAGAATTGAATGCGAGGCCACCACACCGTCGACTGAACGCAGAAGCGTATTCTCTCGGGATATCGCTCGAGAGAGGAAGAGAGACACTGGCAGAGAAGGAGAGTGGAAACAGAAGGAGGTGACAATGGAGAAAAAGAGCTACTCACACAAAGGCTAAAAATGAAAAAGATGAGGGAAAATATACTACTGGACACGGCACTGGTGGTGTACATATTTCACCTCAATCGGCATCAACATACTTAATAACCGATTATTTTGTCTGCCCCAGTACCATTTCATTTGTGTCTACCATTTCGTCTATTCTAGCAGCCCCAAATATTTCGTCTCCTCCAGTGGTGTCACATGAGAAAGCTCACCTTGTTGTTGTGCGTCCAGCGGACGTTGTTGGGCCCGTTGTAGTCGCCATGTATTACGCAGGTGAGGTTGGCGTTGCTACCCCTGTTGATGTACAAGTCGGGACCTCCGACGATTTCCACCCTGGGCTCTGGAAAGAGACTTGAGGTTAGATGACGAATAAACGTGTATCTCTGTAACGAAAATGCTTCGGAAGACGCTGACATTAGTGTATGGAGTCAATACAGTTTCAGAGACGCTGGCCAGCTGAAGTCTGGTCAAGGTTATGCGTTTCTCGTTATAAATAAATGGTGTAAGTTACTGGTTTTGCACACCAAAAAGAAATTCTTTTGCGCCAGCCCTCCAAATCACCCACAAAAACAACAAAACGGCTGAAATGGCTGTTAGAAAAGTTGCTATTTATTTCATACGAATTGTTTTTATGGATTTTTTTCTAATTGCAAGTTTATCATGTTTTCCTGTATGTGAGATTGCCGGCATTGCGAAGTCGTAAAAAGATACCCAACAATCACTTGGTGAACAAAGTTCTTGCATATAGTCCCTCAAAACATACCTATTGCTTAGATGCGTAACGATTTCAAAAGCTCTCGAATCTTCAAGGTCAAGCTATTCAAAATGAATCGTAGCTTGATGCACCTTCAGTGAAATAAAAAGTTTGTATTTTAAAGGAAAGTTTTGTGAATGTCTCTTTAATGGTCTACGGTAGGTGTTGACCAAAGCATGGTGCAGCAGGGGCCACTACCACACACACCACCTCGCTAGCCACTTGCTTCATTGTGCTCTAAGTGGTGCGACTGGCGATAGAATCCAATCTAACCTATACAAACAGTCCCACATAGCATAATGCGTTGTCGATGTAGCGTCTCTCTGCGCCGGTAACGCAATTTAGTGGTGAGGCCGCTACCAAACAGTGGTGCCATTGGCCAATCCACCTCCGTCGTGACAGCAAACACGCTCAAAACAGCGACACATAATTGACTCCGGAGTGGGGCATAATGTCGCCGATAGAAGTGCCATTCCCCAAAGGCGATAGGCGTAATTGGCATAACGCGATGGGTCAGGGTATGACTAAAAAAAGATCCGTCGCTGAGTTTTTCACAGCGAACGTAGCGTGCTGTCCGATATAGCATACTCCGCTCGACTCGTCGCCGTATAGATTGTGGTAAGCTGCCACTATATTACGATTATTGGTATGGTAGCACCTGAAGCATGCCCCGATGTCAGAAATAATGCCGTCACGATGAAGCACCTGCACTCTGCAGTGGCAGACTGCAGACTGCAGAGTTAGATGCATTGTCGTCTGAAGTGACGCCGGCGACTTCATAAAACGCCACTCGAGATCTCACGCCATCATGCTTCGTCCACCACCGTCCGTCAGACATATCATCGTCTGTCCTTAGTCAGGTGACGTCACTGGCTGCATTACGTGACGTCACTGGTCACCTGTTCATACAAAGTCAGCGGTGCGTGCCTGGGGCCGTCGCCGAGCCTGTGACCGGTCCGTTACATTGCCGCTGTCATCTGGCTGTGATGAATGACGCCGGTCGGGCCACGCCAGACGTCCTAATTACATTAGACCGGCCATGGCAGCCGTCACCGGCGTAACGATACTGACGGTAGCCGTAGTTTGACGGACCCGCCGGTCTCGTGGCGGCACAGGCCATGTTTACCTTATGGGGTCGTGCGAGCGGTGTCCGCGGGCGCCGGATGTCACCGTGTTGGTTCCCGAGTGCCGACGGCGGCAGCGCGGGGGCGGATCGCGTTAGCGACAAAGGCTGCGGCCGAACACGTGGCCACTAATGTTCCGCTGTTGAGTGCAGTATTCAGGTGGTCGGGCCTGTTCGCCCATGCCTAATGCATAGTTGATTGAGTTCTGCGCGTCCCGAACGTCGGGCGACGAGGCGAGGCCGCCAGACCGCCGCGTGGCTGTCACGATAAGAAATATCGACGGAGCCGAATAAGGCGGCACGAGTTTCCACTATGGAACACGCCATTACTGGTGAGATGTGAATTTGAAAAAGGAATCCTGGTAAATAATTCATTTAATCATTCCTACATTTCATTATGTCATGACCTATGGACTCACGTGGCCAAGAGACAGGTATAAAAACAGCCAAAGGTGATGAATGTGAGGTCAAACGATTTCCGTTTTCTGCCAACTGTTTAGTTAGTTATTGGTTGTGAATCTGATGGTACGACATCCGCCACTTTCACTGCTCTAAGTTCATTAGCCCGCGCATGACTGGGGTATTTTCCATAACGCGAGTGACTGAGGGGGGGGGGGGCTCTCCAGAGCCCCCCCCCCCCTATCTCCGAAACTACTGGGCCGATCGTCAAAATTCAAACGACGTCTGATAGCCCTGGAAAAACTGTCGAGCGAAACCTATTTTCATTGACCTCGAGGTCACCGATGACGTCACAGGTCAGGTCAAAGTAAAAATCATCGACATTTTTGTTAGTTCACAATTTAGGCTCTGACCGCCGGACCGCCGGTCCGATCAGGCTCATTTTTGGTTTGCGCACTCCTTGACGGATTCCTTAGATACCCTGAGGGTACCGAACTTTTACTTCGAATTTTTAAGGTCGAGGCCAGGTCATCCTAGGTCACGAAAATTGTATATCATGTATCGGTCACGTGACGCATGTTTTATGGTCCATTTTACTCGTAGTTTTCGAAAATAGTGTCGTCTGTGTCATTTGAGGACAGTCAGCTGAATTTACCGAAGGTCAGGTCACTTTCAGGTCAGAAAAAGTCAAATTTTGAAAATGAAATTTTTCAACAAAAAATGTGCCTATCAGTTGCAGTTTGAGCTCGGGAACACGATAGTGCCATTTATATTGCTGTAAGACGTCAAAAACGTACTAAAAATGGATTTGAAAAACATAAAATTGTAAAATTTTGACAATAATGCGAATAACTTGGCTATTTTTGAAGATATTGGGCTAAAACTTGCAAATGTAGTTCATCATTTTGTGTTCTATCACATATATTCCGGTTTTTGCGAAAAGTCAAAAACTTTTTGAAAAAAATCAAAAAATATATTTTTGTAATTGTAAATTGATATTTTTCAAAATTTTCAAAATTTCGAGAATTCGAGATAACAGTTCGATAGCTACGTGTATTTGTAGTCCACTCATGCAAAGAAAATGGATCTAGCTTTAAAACTGAGCTCTTGAGAGCGTTTGCCGTATTTCAGTATTTTGCATGAAAATCGGCCGACATGACGTCACTCTGACGTCATTTCCGGCTTAACTATGGTAGCTAGAAAGTTGAAATTTTAACACAGGGTGTCAAATTGATGCCTCTGAGGGTAACGCAAGATTCGTGTTGATCCGTCAAACGGTTTAGAAGATATTGCTGAAAAACATGAGGGGGGCTCTGTAGAGCCCCCCCCCCCCCCCCAGTTATGCGCGGGTTAATATTGTGTACAACGTTTTCATTATCGATATCAATTCTTCAATGTTCAATTTCATACCACCCACTTCATAAAGTTCTGGATGAGCCGAGCTCCATGCGGCTGCCCATGGTGAGCACTATAAACACTTGTCTCCCTGAGCGAGGATCAGCAGCCGTCCCAACTGTCCAACTGTCCAGCTGGGCATCTGATCTGGGTCACAGACAGAAACGGCACTGAGACAGTTGGTATTCAACCCAGCTGAAGATTAAAGATGCTCTCTGGACATTTTAAAACTGTGATCAAGGCGTGCTCTGTAGCTGTGTCATTCACGCTGCTTAGGTCCGGTTGATGCACCTTTGACTTTGTAATTAGTGTGCTCTCATTTGAAACAAGAATTTCAATATTGTGATAAAAAAACACCCATTGCCATGATGCACCAAACAAAGCTCCCGGATCGTGTGAAAATCAAATCTGCATCTCACCGATTTATTGGGACACGATATCGAACCCTGTTTCCACAAACACCATCATCCTGCACTATCTCATACCAAAACTATCATCTTTGGTCGTCTCATTTCTTCAAAGTCTACCTCAACCTCTTTTATATAAAATACTTCGAGCACTTTTAATGTCATTTTCAGACAGAAACTGTACAGTTGGCTGTTGCCCAGAATGCAGAACCAAGCCGTTGAAGTGTTCACCGCCGCTGGGAGGCACCTCAGCGGTATCGTAACCGACACGTCGAGCACACTCGAGCCGAGTTAGTGGCTAAAACTGTCGGTAGAATGGCGGCGCGCCGTGAACCTAACACTCCAGCAGGAATCCGCCGATATTTAGGACGACACCAGTTCGCCGTAAAAGAACACTGTGGGTCTGTTACCAAAGGACGCCGAGGGTCTGTTACCAAAGGACGACACGAGTTCGCTGTAAAAGGACGCTGCGGGTCCACTTATAGAGAACGCCACGAGTCTGTGGCTAAATGACGCCACGGGTATGTCGCCAAAGCACGTCACGGGTCTGTTCCCAAAGCATGCGTCGCCAAAGACGCTACGGGTCTGTCGCTAAAGGAAGATACAGATTCGCTGCTATCAAAGCACGCCCCAGATTCACCGCCGCCCAAGGACGCCGGTGTTGGCCGTCGCATTAGCGTGCGGCGCGCGGGCGTGGACCACAGTCCCAGGGGCTGGCACGGGGCGCCGGCTGATCTACGGCCGTGATTTCCAATCAATCCGGCCAGGTCACGCGCTAATGCCGGTCTCTCGTTCACCCGGCTCCAACATTTCGGCCGGTCGATGGGCCAACGGTTCAGCTTACGGCGACACTGACGGCCGCAAGAGCGTCATTAGCACGGCACAAGTGGCCTCAAACGCCACTCATTATCCAAAACGGACGGGCCGATCGCCGCTGCCCGGGCTCGGCCGAGACCGGGTCACGCGAGCGGCGCAGGGAGACGGCCGGCGCCGGCCCGTGGCGTGCCCCCGGGCCATCGGACCGCTGACCCACACTGGTCCCCAAACGGCCCGTCCGCTCCGGCCCGGCTGGCCCAGAGCAGCCCGAAATAGCGCCCGTCAGCTATGATGGACGTCGTTCCAATCCAGCATTGCCTCTTTCATCTTCGATCGGCTGATAAGTCGTCCGTTTTGAGACTTTTTCTTGTCAGAATCCCCTGCAGTTACAGTGCCCTCATGTAACTTCCATGAATTCAGGCACAAAATTGCATTGCATATTGAGC